TGACAATTACTTTTTTCCCTTCCAGTCTTCTCAAGGTGGAGGCCATCGCACCTTACTGTACGGCCATGCCATCCTTCTGAGACACCACCACTCGGGCATGGTGAGACTGGCTTCAAACAGCTTAGCGACACGTAGAATAAATGTTGTCTGCATTTAAAGGCAGAGTTTTTCCTTATATATGTTGTGGATTGAACAATCCCCCCCAGTACCTGAGCTGTTTGACTACGTCTCGATCCCTCACCGACAAGCTGGCCTTCGACGTGGGCTTACAGGAAGATTCCACAGGTGAACTTAAACCATGTTTAACACTCGTTTCTGTATAAATTTTAATGTTTTCTAACACATTAATTTATCTATTGCTCTTAACGAGATCTTTCACATAATTTTTATTGTGAAAATTTTGGAGTCAGCTTTGTTGTTTCTGTTTTTCTTAAATATTGTTAGCCATCTAACTACTTTAGCATACTTTAAGTTATTTTAGCTTTTTGTATATCTAAACAATAGATCATTCAAGTGATGAGTGCTGTCACTTTAGATTTTTTCAACTTCTATACTTTTCAAAATATTTAATCTTTATTTACAAATATTTTGCCCATTGAAATACATTGAGATCTCCTCACTTAATTCAAAAATGTTGTTCTCTTTATAATCTGCTTCATCACACTGACTCTATTTTTTGTCTTCTTTTGCTACTAGTAGCTTTTTAACCACTGCTCGGCTTCTTTTAGAAAGTTTTTTGGTACTATTAGAGTGCGTCACTTAAAAAAAAAAAAAAAAAAATTGCTACACTTATTTGGCATTTTTGTACTTTTAGAATTTTGATTAACCTTTTGCTAATTTCAGCTTTTAGCTCATTCTTTTTATATTATTATTAATAACAAAATAATAATATCAATAATAACAATAATAGTTGTTGTTGTTATTGCTATTATAATTATTGTCATTAATGCTGCAGCATTTCCTTATTGCTATAAAAATGAACAAAGTATCGTACAATCAAAATAAACTAGCATTCTGGCAGGGACCAATGCAGACATGTTCCTGTTTTTAGTTTTATACATTTGTCTCGGAATCTAGTAGTTTTTTTTGGTTTTGTTACCTTTTTCCTTTTAGCCATCCTATTTGTTAAGAAAAAAAAAAAAAAAAAAAAAAAAAAAAAACTGTAGTATGAGTTTTTATAACTGCTTATTGTTGTTGCTGTTGTCCATTGTTGTCATCTTTCTTTGTTGAAATCAGGTCTCTCTTGTAAATGAGTCCTCGAGGCTCAATGGGATTTACCTGTATAAATAAAGGTTGATTGATTCTTTTAAAGAATGCATGTCACCCGCCTCCTTGCATGCCAAAGTTATACACAAATAAAACAACGGTTGTTGAGCAGTAATTGGGGAATGAGGCTCGGAGGGAGCTACACACGCTGTTTGCTTCTGTCCTTCCTGCAGGTGAGGCATGCTGGTGGACCATTCATCCAGCCTCGAAGCAGAGATCAGAAGGTGAAAAGGTCAGGGTGGGTGATGACCTCATTCTTGTCAGCGTGTCGTCTGAGAGATACCTGGTGAGGCTTCCTGTGCTCCACCCTTCCTGTTCGGATAAAAACTGTGTGATGCTAAACTCGGGTGTCCCTCTGTCTTCTCTGTCCTCAGCATCTGTCCTACGCGAGCGGAGATCTGATGGTGGACGCCTCCTTCATGCAAACCCTTTGGAACATGAATCCCATTAGCTCAGGATGTGAACTGGCCGAGGGTACAAACCTGCTCAAACACGGCTCTCTTTCCCAGCCAAACACTAAACATCACTGGTCAACTGAAATGTTTTGTTGCTCTACTAAAACTGCTTCAGTCCATCCTAAGATGAAGGCAGCATTCTTTTACAGTTCTGCGGGCTTTTGGACTATCTGATCAGCTTCATAGGATTAAGCTCTTGAGATTTTTGGAGTCATAGCAAACCATTTATGCTCTTTGTGAAAGGCAGTGGGGTTAATAACATTCAGATCGGATGTTTTGAAGTCAAAATCCATCTAAAACACGCAGGATAGTCGCCCTGAACGAGGCATGGATATGTTTGATCGAGCCTCCTGCTGTCTCCAGAATTGGGTGCTTAAAGTTGGTATTTGAACTTAATTGTTTTTTTTGAATGTCTTCTAGAGAATAACTTTGCTGTGATTCAGATTTAAATAAACTGGTCTGCCAAAACAATTTAGTTGAAAAACTCTTGCCCACAGGAATGCCAGGCTCTAAAGTTTCACAAATGTAATTTGCAAACGAGTTGCCAACAGCCCCAGCTCAGAGAGTTACTGGTTTAAATCCTGATACTTAGTATCTCTCTTGTGGAGTCCCTCAGAGTTCTGTTCCAGGACCACTAATGTTGCATTATATTTATACTCTTTCTAAAACTGATTTTTAATCAGTTCAGTAGCACGTTTTGCCGACGATACCCATGAGCAAGTCGTACAAAGGAATGGATTTATGTGAAATTTGTTACAAATTATTTACCATGACAGAATTAACCAGACATCAAATGATTCCGTCAGATTCCACTGTTGAATCAAGTCTGAAAATAGTTAAGCAAATTCTAAAAAATAGGTATGGAACTCTTTTTTTTTTTTTCCCACTTAACAAGAGGTTGTTGTTAAAGCCTAACTTTGAGATGATTGTCCACGTTTCATTTTCACTCTTTAGACTTACTGGTGTAACTTTTTTATCCTTCTTCATCTTCAGATGATCCAAAGTCTGCAGCAAGGCTCCTTAACGACAGAAGCAGACCTCAAGTGTTCTTGAGTTAAATAATTTTAAAGTGAGCTTTGGTTGGTCAAACAGCTCAGGATATCTTGTGGTCATCTCAGACCCTTAGGTCATCTAAACTGAGATTATTAGTAGCTTGTCACACATCCAGTATAAGATTTATTATCTATACGCAGACGATTTCCACTCAGTGTCAGTAGATTCTCAGTCCTGCAGGTGATCTTTAGTGCTTGAGGAAAAGCCAACAGAGCATCCAATAACTGAAGAAGTTTGGGTACAAAACAATCTAAACCCCTGACAGGAAGACCTCCTATTCAAGGTCTTCTGGAGTTGTGTCTCCAGACACGTGCAAGCTTCATTCACAAGACGGTTCCACAAAAAGGCCGCACAGACCAGTTTGTGAACTCCCTGTATCCGTTCACAAGTCACTGATGAAGCGGGCCGCTCAGCTGCACGTGGTGCTCTACGTGTTACACGAGGGGCAGACGTCTTTACTCACATTTCTGAAAACGCGGTGAACGAACTTGATGTAGCGATCGTCTTTGTGCCGCTTGAGACGTGAAGTTGCAACATTCCACGATGGGCTCGGCCCACGTTTTCACACGTGTACATTCTGGGTCTGGTCACGTTGGAGGCACAGGGGGTCTGAGGCAGCTTACGTCAGGTGTTCCACGTGCTGTTTCAGACCCCCTTGGCCGCCGCAGTGTGTCTTCTGAATGAACTGAGGTGGTCAGAGCACGTGTCAGACCCGGCCTGAGGCGTCTTGTGAACGAGGCTACAGACTCTGTTGTGTGTTGGTTCTCTCAGGGTATCTGACCGGCGGTCACGTTCTCCGGTTGTTCCACGGCCACATGGACGAGTGTCTGGCCATCCCCACTCCAGAGGAGGGGGAGGAGAAGCGCAGGTGAGGCAGAGTTCAACACTTCCTGCTGATCTAACGTCACGTGACTGAGTCTGTTCACTTGTTGCTGCAGGACGGCTCACTATGAAGGCGGCGCCGTGTGCAGTCAGGCCCGGTCCCTCTGGAGGCTGGAGCCCCTCAGAATCAGGTGACCTCCAACAGAAATGATTGTTTATTAGATTATGAATCATGTAGAGCAGGGGCGCCCAGTCCTGGTCCTCAAGGGCCACTATCCTGCATGTTTTAGTTGTTTCCCTGCCCCTGAGCAGATCTTCAAGTTCTGCAGAAGTCAAGTCAACTTTATTTATAGAGCACATTTAAAACAGCCCGGTATGTCTCGTTCAATCAGATCAGGGTGCAGAGAAACATGAAATATAAAGGATGGAGGCCCTCCAGGACCAGGATAAGACACCCCTGGTGTAGAGTTTAAAGGAGAGGAAAACATGGTCGTAAATGTAAATTGTCAATATGTCTCAGCATCTTTTATAGAATAATTTGGGTTTATGTAAGAAGAAGCTTGTAGAGAAAACAAAAACTAGTGGAGGTTTATGGTGGTTCTAAAGTGCTAAAAAACAACAAAAAGACCAAAGAGATGAAGTTGAAATTGATAATTCATTCTTTTGCATGTTTGCATGATTTTCTGATGTCATACCCAAAGCCTGCATTTAATAATCTTTACATTAAATCTACACTCCTTTCCACCATGGGGTGTGGGATATTGGGGATAAATGATCCTCATTAACCCTCAAGGAGATTTCATAAATACTCTTATAAGAACTGGTCTCCCAGTACAAATTTCCGAACATTAATTCACCAAAATTTAAGGTTGCATTCCAGCTGCTTTACAGTTATTTAGTCTAATGACTTCAGGAAACCTGAACAGACGCACTGGTTTATTCCTTTTAGGGCATCACAAATAAATACATCCATCCATTTTCTTTCTGGGTCGTGAGGAGTCACTGTGGGAGAGGTGGGGGAGACCTGGACAGGTCTCCAGTCCATCACAAGGACACTGAGATGGACTCTCTCTCCTAGGGACAATTTAGAGTTACCAGTCAGCCCAACATGCATGTTTTTTGGTCTGTGGGAGGAAACAGGAGTACCCGGAGAAAACCCACGCAGCACGGAGAGAACATGCAAAACCCACCCAGAAAGACTGGGAGGCGAACCTGCGACCTTGCTGAGAGGGGACGGCTCTAACCACGACTGTACCGGGCCGTCCTCATCAAACAGAACGGTTAAAAAGACGAGGCAGTTCCCTCCTACAGCTTCTGTCATTGGCAAACATGGCTGCCGCTCCATCAGCAGCATTCTGGTAGTATCTGAGAGTCATCCCCTGCTCGTACTCTGAGCGTCGACAAGTCAAACACCTGTCAGTCCGTCCGTTCTGGACTCGGGTGGCGAGGGCAGCAGCTGGAGCAGGGAGGTCCAGACCTCTCTCTCCACAGTCACCTCGTCCAGCTCTTCTGGGAGGACTCCAAGGTGTTCTTCTAGTCTGTCCAACATGTCCTGGGTTTTCCACAGTGATGCGTCCTGAGGACATCCAGATGTCTGAACCTCCTCAACAGTCTCCTCTGGATGTGGAGGAGCAGCGGTTCTACTCCGAGTCTCCTGCAGAACTGAACTGTAAGGGAGAGTCCATCTACCCTGCAGAGAAAACTCATGTTGACCACATGGATCCAGGAGGTCTAAAGATCTTCATAGATGAGGGTAGGAACGTAGACCGAGAGGTGCACAGGTCCACAAGTCACAACATCTTTGTTTAATGAAAAAGATTTTGTTAAAAACAATAAATCAGGTCTTTTGTAAACGAGTCCTCGTGGCTCAATGGGACTCGCCTGTTTAAATAAAGGTTGAATGAAGAAAGCTTTGACGTGCAAAGCAGCGGGTGACGTGCATTCCTCCGATGAGAACTAGTTTAATGTTCTGAATGTTTCCGGGGGACTGCGGTAGCTCGGTGGACTCAGTGCTTCGGTCCTTCAATCCTGAGGTTGCGGGTTCGAGCCCAGGTTGTGTCAGGAAGACATCAGTGTAAAACAAAAGCCAGATCTTTCATGCGGTTCCGCTTGCTGCGGTGACCCCTGAAGAAGGAAGCAGCCGAAATAAACTTTAAATCATTCTCTCTATTAACATCCGATTTTCTTCCGTCCGTTTTTCAGCTCGTAACCCGTTTCACGGTTTTTGTGCAGTTTCATGAATCAAAACGTTCGGCTCGTTCAGGACATTCCTGCTGGGACTTTAGGTGTTTGTGTAATTTTAACTTGGAAATATTTATCTTTGTCGGCCATGTTTTTTCTAATAGAACTGAATGGAGCTCGTCACATCTTTCAACCCTTTTAGCTGTTTACAACCTGTTACTGCTCCCTTCAGCTTCTATCTGCCAATTATTTTCTGCTTTGATAGCTAGTTGCTTTTCTGCCTTTTTTGTTGTTGCTAATCCTTTTGTACTTCTTTCTGCTAATGTCTGCCCCTTTTCTTTTTCAGCCTTTTTTTGTAGCCAATTTCTTCTTTTTCTGCTCATTTCATTTTTTTAAATTTTTCTCATTTCAGATTTTCCATCCATCCATTTTTTCTTTTACCTGCTTCTTCCTTTCCGGGTCACGGGGGGGTCACTGGTGCCCATGTCCAGCAGTCATTGTGCAGAATTTCAGATTTTTTTCTAACTGTTCATCTTCTTTCTGCTTATTTGAGCTAATTCCGCTTTATTTCAGCTCTTTTCTGCACAGTTCTGCAGCTTTCTGCTTTTCTTTTCCTGCTTTCAGCAAGTGTCAGCTGTTCAAATTCAGCTCGCGTGAACAGCTTTCAGCAGCTTTCAGCAGAAATCATTCAGCAATAAGTGTTCGTACTGTTTATCTTTAACGTTGTAAATGTGTTTTGGGTGAAGCCGCTGCCGGAGAGCGAGGTTTGTCACGACCTCATGGACGTGAAGCGTTAATAAAACGGCTCCTTGCTCTTCACGACGGTTAAATCCAACAGGGGTCGTCACTGAAATACTGTGAGATGATTAATGGCCTTTTTTCTGTGCTGTTTGCAGTTGGAGCGGCAGCCACATGAAATGGGGCCAGTCTTTCCGTATTCGACACATCACAACGGGTCGGTACCTGTGTCTGGACGAGGACAAGGTCCTGAACGTGGTCGACCCGGAGAAGGCCAACACCAAAATGTCTGCGTTCAGCTTTCGTGTTTCAAAGGTCAGAAATCACACTTTGACCCGTCCAGGCCATCTGTACTCACCCCCTCACCGGTTTCTCCGTTTCTTTTCTTCGCCTGTTGTCCGCCCTCGAGCAGGAGAAGGTCGATGTGGCCCAGAAGAGGGACGTTGAAGGGATGGGCATTCCGGAGATAAAGTACGGAGAGTCCATGTGTTTTGTCCAACACGTGTCCACCGGCCTGTGGGTCACCTACGCTGCTCTGGATGCTAAAGCTGCTCGTTTAGGAATGATGAAGAGGAGGGTAAGGACCCATCCAGCAAAGTCACAATAACTGGAGTTAATTTAACGCAGAGTCAGCATTAAAATGACTTTTAGTTCATATTCAGGTTGTGGTAAATGATTAATGACAAAATATTGACCTTAATTAAAAATGTCCCATAGAAAAATATTCAGTCACTTTAATTCCTCCAAAACGTCGTCTTCTTTCAAATCTGCTTCAGCAGTTTGGCTCTAGTTTTGTCTGCTTATGCTACTGTTAGCTACTGTTCTACTTTTAGCGTGAAGCTATATTCTGCTACTTTTAGCTGTTAGCTACCATTTTGTCATTGTTAGCCGATAGCTACTGTTTGGTCATGTTTAGCTTTTAGCTATATTCTGCTACTTTAAGCCTGTAGTTACCGTTCTGTTATTTTTGTTTTAAACTACCGTTTTGTTGCTTTTTGCTTAATGTCCCACTGTGACTACTTTTAGCTGTTTGCTACCATTTTGCTACTGTTAGCTATCATTCTGTCACCTTTAGCTTTTGACTAATTTTGACTACTTTTAGCGTTCAGATGCTAGTCTGCATTTTTTAGAACTTATTCATTCAACCTTTATTTAGACAGATAAGTCACATTGAGCCTCGAAGACTCATTTACAAGTGAGACCTGTTTGGACAAAGCAGTGAAACTGGACACATGTAGGAACTTAGCTACAGTTTTGCTAATTTTAGCTTTTTTGATTATGTTAACATTAGCAACTTTCCAAGTTTAGCTAGAATGTTGCTAATATTAATTATTGTTTTCCTTATTTTAGCTACAACTTTGCATATTTTCACTTTAGCATCTCTTTTGCTAATTTTAGCTTTTGTTTTGCTGCTTTTTAGCTTCCTGTCGCTGCCGTTTTGAATGGGTTTAACTCCAAAAGTTACTCAGCTTTAATAAATTATAACTTTCTGAAAGTTTCTTTTGAATCTGTCCAGTAGTTTATGAGATATTTTGCTAACAGCACAGATAAACAGAGACACAGGCAAGTTCTTTTTCCCCTTGGTGTGGGGATTAAACATGACGATCCAAAGATGGTACATTTCAAAATAAAAGCAGAGAAGAATTAAAACTTTTTCTGTGGTGACACCATCGGACCTCTCAGGCGACGTGAGGACGGTGTTTGTTGAACGTTGGCACGGTCTGTGTCTTCAGGTGATTCTGCATCAGGAGGGTCACATGGACGACGCTCTGACCGTGTCCCGGTCCCAGTCCGAGGAGTCGCAGGCTGCTCGGATGATTTACAGCACCACGGGTCTCTTCAGGCACTTCATCAAGTACGTATCGGCTGATATTAACCTTGTTAACCTTTGTTCAGATGTACTGGGATTGTGTTTGTGCTTCTACAGTGGACTGGACTCGTTGAGCGGGAAGAACAAGTCTCCAGGTCCGGTGTCGCTCCCTCTGGAAGGTGTCGTCCTCTCTCTTCAGGATCTCATCTTCTACTTTCGTCCGCCGGAGGAGGAACTGGAGCACGAGGAGAAACAGACCAAACTCCGCTCTCTACGCAACCGGCAGAACCTCTTCCAGGAGGAGGTAAAATACAAAATCTACAGCCGCTGCTCAAATTCACTGATTTCACAGTTTTCTTTCCCTGAAACCAAAGGAACGTGTAATGAATCCTTAGAGCTTTGCCATTAATTTACTAGTACAATGCATTCTGGGTGATGGCGCACATTGGTTTGCTATAGAGACCACTGCTCTGTGGGTTTGATTGGCTTTGCAGCGGCTCCAGAACATCGCAATCCAAATTAGGACAAAGGGATGGATGGATGGATGGATGGATGGGTGGATGGATGGATGGATGGATGGATGGGTGGATGGTTGGATGGACAAAAATTATATTCATAAATAAATAATACGTAACGCTCTTTTCTAATGAGACTATGTTTTGATGCATGTGGTGAGCAGCTCGTGGCGGGCAGCGGAGCTCTCTGCAGCAGAGTCTCTCATCAGCAGCTCTCCTCTTCATCGTTTCATTCTTCATCATTTTCAGCTGCAGGATGTCTCGTCTCCACATTCTCCTCTCTGTCAACGCGCTCCGGTTAAAATTAGACGTCAGACGTTGCCTAAAATTAACATTCAGGGATGGAGCTCGCACCGAATGACCTGTCTATGTAGTTTACCCAGAATGCATTGCGGCGTGAACAACGTGGCAATGTCTGTGTGACATCATTTAAAAATGTTTATAAAAACTAAACATCCTACAGTATTTTTACAGTTTTTTATAGCTCAAGCAAATGATCAAATAAAGTCTAATGTTCCAACCAGATGGGGAGTCTTTTATTTTGGAGACACTTCCTGTGCTATGAGACTAAAATAAACAGTTTGGCCATAGAGACCACTGGGGGGGGGGGAAGGGGAACGCTTTCAGTCCTGAGAACGCCATCTCTGCTGGGAAGTACAGGGTTGTCAACATCGTGTCGAGGGGTGTTTTGCTGCAGGAGATACTGGTGGTGACGTTCACAAAATATAAATCATGAGGAAAAATTGTATCAACATTTCAAGACGTCTGTCAGGAAGTTAAAGCTTGGACACAAATGGGACTTTCTAACGGACAGTATCCCTTAGTTTCCGTCAAAATTAGTTACAAAGTGGCTTAAGGACAACAAAGTCCTTTTTTTTGAAGTGGAAACCATAAAGTCTTGATCTTTGTCCCATTGAAAAATAGAAAGAAAATAGGAAACTGGGCCTACAAACCTGACGGTTCCACAAGTTCTGTCTGGAGGAACGGGACAAGAAGGTCGTAGAGGGAAACCCAAAACGTTTGACCGTTTAAAGGCAATGATTTCAAAAACTTGTGACCGAAGACACGAGTACAAAATATCTGTAAAATGTGTAATCCCAGAGAAGAAGCATCATTTCAGAAAGTTTTGTATTTCGTCTGTTGTTGTCAAACGGTGTCCATGTTCAGAGTCAGTGTTTGGAGCCACCGGAGGAGTTGTTGGTTTGACTACAACCATTTCCTGTTTCCACTGAGACGGGCGTGTGTTGAATTGTTTGAAGAGGGGTTGTGATGTGCGGGGAGTCCCTGCTGCCATCAGCGGGGTTCCTATGCAGAGCTTAGCGTCTCCGTCGTGTGTAGAGTCCTTCACGTCGGAGTGACGGCGTTCACGACTCTCCCATTCTTCTCTGCTTCTGTTGTGGCTTCGAGCTGCATCTGGACTCCGCTGCTCTGAATCTCCATCCCTGCGCCTCCTTTTCTTTTTCTTCTTCTTTCGTGTGCCTGTGGCTCTGCCACTCCTGAGCTGCTCTCGTGGCGCCCGTCTTTATCTTTAGACTTCTTTTTCCTGCTCTTGTTATGTTTTTTAGTGCCGTTGATCTCAGAGCTGTCTTCTGTTTTCTCATGTGCTCAGCAGCACTCTGATCCGGCTTCCTAAAAGAAGAGGGAGTATTGTAGGGGTGCGTTCAGGGAGGTGAGAACTTGGACTTGTTTGTTTCTCGATGTGCAGCAGGGCAAGAACGGTAAGTCTCTCTCTCCCAGGCGTTCCTTCTGTCCTTCACTGCTGGTGATTCTCGACTGTCCTGCTGCTTCCTCCGACTGTGAGACTCTTCACATTAGGGGGTCCCTTCGACTCGTGGCCCCCATCTAACCGTTGGTAGTTGTAAGAGTAGGAGCACCTGTCGAGGTCGTCCATCCACCTTCTTCCTCTTGTTCTGGACTCAGGTCTCGAGGGCAGCATCTTGAGCAGGGAGGTCCAGACATCTCTCTCCACAGCCTCTTCCAGCTCTTCTGGGAGGACTTCAAGGTGTTCCCAGCCCAACAGAGACGTACCACACCATACCACTTTATTTATAAAGCACTTAAAACAGCGACAAGGCCAACCAAAGTCCTGCACAGACAAAACAACAGGTAACACACAAAGCAAAGTACAAAATGAGGTAAATCAGAACGTAGTTCTGACGTAGTCTCTCCAGTGTGTCCTGGGTCTTCCCCGGGGTCTCCTCGCAGTCGGACATACCCGAAGCACCTCTCTTGGTAAACGCCCAGGGAGCATCCTTATCAGATGCTTGAACCACCTCAGCTGGCTCTTCTTGATGTGGAGGAGCTGCGGTTCAACTCCGAGTCTCCTGAATGTCTCAGCCTGTCTCTAAGGGAGAGTCCAGCTACGCTGCAGAGGAAACTCATTTCAACCTCCTGTGTCCACAATCTCATTCTTTCAGTCTCTACCCAGAGTTCATGACCAGAGGTGAGGGGAGGAACGTAGACCGACCGGTAAACAGAGAGCTTCGCCTTACAGCTCAGCTCCCTCTTCACCACAACGGACCGGTACAGAGTCCACAATACTGCACCAAATGGTCTGTTGATCTCACGCTCCATTCTTTCACTCATGAACAAAATCTTGAGATACTTGAACTCCTCCACTTGAGGCAGAACCTCACCCTCGACCCGAAGAGAGCAACCCACCCTTTTCCAACTGCCGTGGTCGTGATCCAGTAACGAGTACAGCTCGCTGCCAGTGACGATCCGACTCCCAGTCCCTGTGTTTATGTTCAGGAGGAGGCAAACCATCCCTGTAAAAACGTATCTCATTGTTTGGATGTTTAGTTAATGGGAATCATTTTTAAAATCCTTATTAACCTAAACCAGTAAAGTTTTCGCCTTATTTAATATCAGTCAGGAATAATTGGTTCTGTCTCTTTTTATAGTGTATGTAAACATCTGGTTTCAGTGTTTATGTCAGTTTTTTGAGCCTGTCTGAAGGTCAGATCAACAGAAGTGACTCGTTTTGTTGGAATGAACCTCCTGTCGTTTCTGTGACCGTCAGGGAATGATCACCATCGTGTTGGAGTGCATCGACCGTCTGAACGTCTACAACACCGCCGCTCACTTCTCCGAGTTCGCCGGCGAAGAGGCGGCCGAGTCCTGGAAGGAGATCGTCAACCTCCTTTACGAGCTGCTGGGTATAAAAACGGAACCAAGAACCCTGAAAATCCACAAAGTTTTGTTTTCCTCACGTCTGTGTTGTATCTTTTTATTTTTTTTACCGTTCAGCTTCACTCATCAGAGGGAACCGCTCCAACTGTGCGCTGTTCTGTGACAACCTGGACTGGTTGGTCAGTAAACTGGATCGCCTGGAGGCCTCCTCGGGTACTGGATCTCCCACAGACCAAACACTGGACCTGACAGAGCTGATTTTAATGATTTTATTCTGGAACTATGAGTTTAATGAAGCTGTTTTACTCGCTCATGCAGAACTTTTAAATAATATTTAATGCTATTTGTTTCATGGATGTCTTTGCCTTTAGGAATTCTGGAGGTTCTGTACTGTGTTCTGATTGAAAGCCCCGAGGTTCTGAACATCATTCAGGAGAACCACATCAAATCCATCATCTCTCTTCTGGACAAACACGGACGGAACCACAAGGTTGGCGTTTCCTCAGAACTTTTGCTTCTGATTAAAGTTGGACCCATAAAATCTCTTCGTAGTTCTGTTCTCGAGTCGTTCTCATCCGACCTGTAGGTTCTGGACGTGCTGCGCTCCCTGTGCGTGTGTAATGGTGTAGCTGTGAGGTCCAACCAGAACCTCATCACAGAAAACCTGCTGCCGGGTCGAGACCTGCTGCTGCAAACCAACATCGTCAACTACGTCACCAGGTTTGTTCGTCAACGCTGGTGACTAGTTTCTCTTTTTTGAGCCTGAATTCCCTCAAAACCAAAAGTAGAAAACAGAAGCTGAACGGAGCTGAGAGGCAGCGCTGAAGTACATTTTCTTAAAGTTTTATTAAATACAAAGTCACACACCGGTCACCTGTGATTCACTGCAGCAACAGCGGCCATTAGCAAAGAACAGAACAAGTTAAGTTATAATTATTTATAAGGCACATTTAAAAACAGCAGCTATTTCCAAAGTGATTAACAATAAAATTCAAGGGCAGTAATTTAAAGATAAAAAAAAATAACAAAAATTAACAGCATAACCCCCCCCCACACACACACACACACACACACAAACAAAAAACAGTGAAATAGTAAAAAATTCAATTTCAGAAATACTTTATTAATCCCAAAGGGAAATTGTTGTAACTCGTTATCCTCGTTTCATTATGAGATGTTATAGATGCTGATGGCTGTAGGCAGGAAGGATCTCTTGTAAAGGTCCGTCCCACAGTGGGTACGAAGAATCGGGCTGCAGATGCCATCTGATCCGTCCACCCAGACTCAGCTGGCCTCTCGGTTCCCCCAGGCTGTAGGACCGCCCGAATGCCGGGCAGAACTCCTTTCAGCATCTTGCCGAGCTCCTCGTCACTGCACATCCAGCTGCAGGTGTCGGGGGATGATCCCGGTCCTTCCGCTGTCATGAGCCACGTTTCCTGCCATTTCCAGGATCTCCGTGGTCAGGCACTCGAGCACAGCTGGCAGGGAGACAGGAATGCATCTACGGTGCCTCCTTTTCCAACTCGTTTGAGATTTGGGGCTGTAGCTGAGATATTATTTGAGCTTTGGAGATGTTAATCAGCTGATCCCAATTGTACAAATCCACCTTGTTGCCATGGTTACGCATCATAACAAATGTCCAAAAGTAAAAAAGTTTCAGTAAAAACCCTTCCAGCTGCACAGCATCCGATACCAGAGGAAACATTCATCCAAAAAATGTGATTTACATCCAGAAAAAGAGGAATTAAAGTTTCCAAAAGCAAAATCTCAGAATGAAAGTAACAGATCCGCTCCAACATGCAGCCACCCCGAGCGCAATTCTAGAATCACAATGTGTCAAAAGTCGGTGAAAACGTGGTGTTTTTAGAATACATTTGAAAACAGGAAATCAATCGGCTTGTCTAATTAGATTGTTTAAAGTTTAGGGTCCATGACTGAAAAAGCCTGATCTCCTCTGAGCCTCAACCTGGTTTTTCTCTTCATTGTCATTAGACATAATGTGCATCGAGAGTGAGGAGCAAGGCAAATGTAGACCAACTAAGTTCCAAAACAAATATTCTGTGTTATGTAGCTTAACCTAAATAAACAAATATATATATATATATATATATGTAATATAAGTCTTGGTAGTGTCAGTCTTGGTTCTGTTTTTGATACACCTGTAGCGCCTGCAGAGGGCCACACATCCAACAGTTGAGGACCAGGGTGAGAGCTGTCCTTGGAGATGTTCTGTGCTCTGCAGAGATGGGGAGATGTAGATGTTCAACAGGAAGGGATCACCTCCTGGAGCCTCGCCTTGTCTGCCTCAGTGCAGCTCCCGCTCTAACAGACAGGGCGCTCGGTTCTGTTGACAGGGCGGGGCGCCCTCCTTGCGTAACGTTAGGGGAAACACTGGAGTACACATGATAAGAGCGTTTTCCTCTCTGCTTGGACACGACATGATGGTGGAATGTGAGGAGTAAAGTCTTCAAGTTGGCCTGATTAAAGTCTCCGGCTGTGATGTGAATGCCATTCAGGTGAACCCTCTGCTGTTCGCTGGTGAAGAGTCTCAGTCATCCAGGACATGATGAATTCAAAAAATCTTTCAATACAAAATCAACTGGACTTTATTTGTAACCGAAGACGTTTCGCTCCTCATCCGAGGAGCTTTCTCAATTCAAAGAGCAGAGAGTGAGAGATTCAGGTTTTAAGGCTGAGTGAGATAAGACACACATCCTCTGCTGTTCGTTTATAGAGGTCAGCAAGAGAGTGCACCGTGCTAACGTTAGCGTCGGACGGGAGACAGCTGTGATGATCACTACTGTTGCTCTCTTGGTAGAAAGAATGGCCGACATCTGATAGACATGTATTCAAGGTCTGGGTAGCAAGGCTTTTTTATAATCATGCTGTTGTTGCATCAGTCATCATGCACGTAAATACAAAGCCCTCCTCCCCGGCTCTGATCTTTGGGGAGCGAAGTGCGGCCTGCTAGCTGCACGCTGGCATCGAGGATCCTCTGGTGGAGCCAGGACTCCCATCAGGACACGGCAGTCCCGTACAGAGCGATTCCCAGTAATGCAGGTCGTCCATTTTCGATCCCAAGGATCTGGTGTTGGAGAGATACAGGCTCTGCAGAAGTGGCTTGTGTAGTTGGTTCCTTCACCTTAGCAGGAGGCTGGACCTGCAGCCTCCCGCCATCGTCTGCGGCGCCTTCTGGAACCGACAACAATCCACTGGGAACCCGGCGGTCTCGCTAGTTCATCTGAGATGTTATGAGTGTGGTAAAAGATGCTCGGAACGGGTATCGTGCTGATATCCAACGTCCAAAAGACCTTGGTGAGTGTAGTAGGCATTCATCAGAGAGCGTGCACCGAGCGCACGAGCAAACGGAAAGAAAACCTGATAAAAAGCACAGAGCTGTGAGCCGCTGCAACTGTGTGCGCCGCCATCTTGACCATCATCATCCTCACCAAAACAGGCAAACGTCTGCTCTTGGCAGTTTGACTAAATAGTGCAGAGTAAGGGCTGACTAATAAAATGCGTGCAATATAATAATAATAATAATATACTGTAATATTAGAATGTGTATAAAAATGTAAAAACACCAGAAAGCTGTGTGAGCTACGGATGCTGACAACAGCAGGGAAAAGCGTGTCTCCTTTCACAAGTCAGCAGATCTTATTTACCTCGATGTGAATGTGAGCCGACCAGAACCGAAGCTAATAATGGACCCGTTTAAAAGTAGCCTGTAAAGCTGATGTAGTGGTTGTTAATTATTCAGCCTGCAGCTTCTGTGGCAGATAGTCGGTGCTCTGCACGCTGAATCACGCTACACTTTGGTACGGATTATTAAATAGTCCGCGCTGCTGTTGGTAACAACTCTCTTTGTATGAACTCTGAAAATGTTCTTTTTAATCTTAGCATTAGACCAGGGCTTTTCAACTGGCGGCTCGTGAGCCATTTCCGGCCCTCGAGTGACTTCAATCCGGTCCTTTTTTTTTTCTTGGGTTTTGGGTTCTGTTTATTGCATTTATGATGCAATAAAATAAACAACTTTAAATCATTGCAAACTTTGTTTTTCATCGTGACTTTAATCACTGGATGTCCGCCTCCCGAGCTGTTGGCCTTCAGAAACTGTGGCCCCCTGAGCAGTTTTGTTGAAGAGCCCTGTTTTAGACACTGAACGCTGCAATTAGCTGCAGCTAGCGGAGCCTACATAAACACAATTTACACGCTAAAGTTAGTTTTTGAGTTCATCAACTATTTGAAGTCAGTTATTAAACCAGCAAAATGTTTTGCTAATAATATTTGGAAATGGCAAAAATTGTCAAAAGTTAGAAAAGTTACAAATACTCAAAAGTCGTGGTGCACCATTCCTGCTCGAGCAAGACGTGTTGAAATATGAACGGTTAAAAAATAACGAGAGAAATAATTTGCAAAAGCCGTAGAGAGGAAACTAAATACGAAAACAGAAGTACGAACGCTGAACCATTCACTCAATGAGAGGTGGCTTAAAACTTTTGCACAGACTGAGTTTTGTTTCTAAAAACAAACGTGGCTCCTGATGACGGTAACGGTAAATGTTGACTTGTCGTCCCCCCTCCCAGCGTGAGACCGAACATCTTCCTGGGTACCTGTGAGGGCTCCACTCAGTATAAGAAGTGGTACTACGAGATGATCGTGGACTACGTGGAGTCCTTCGTGACGGCGCAGGCGACCCACCTGAGGGTGGGCTGGGCTATGACCGAGGGCTACAGCCCCTACCCCGGCGGCGGAGAGGGCTGGGGAGGCAATGGGGTGGGAGATGACCTCTACTCTTACGGCTTTGACGGGTTGCATTTATGGTCAGGTATGGACCTCCTGCACTGGTTTTTAAATCTACCACAATGAAAATGTCTAACAGCGTCAGTCTGCTGTTCAGGTACGGTGGCTCGGCAGGTGGCCTCGCCCAGCGCTCACACGCTCGCTGCAGACGACGTGGTCAGCTGCTGCCTGGATCTGAGCGTGCCCAGTATCTCCTTCCGCATCAACGGCCATCCGGTTCAGGGCATGTTTGAGAACTTCAACGTGGACGGGCTCTTCTTCCCGGTCATCAGCTTCTCCGCTGGAGTCAAGTCAGTTTAACGTCTCGAAGCTCAGTTTCCAACAGAAAAAGACCTGGACTGATTCTGGTTCTGTCCCATCAGGGTCCGGTTCCTCCTCGGTGGACGACATGGAGACTTTAAGTTCATGCCCCCGCCAGGCTACGCCCCGTGTTACGAGGCGGTGCTGCCGAAGGACAGGATGCGCATTGAACCCATCAAGGAGTACAAGCACGACTTCAACGGGGTCCGAAACCTTCTGGGTCCGACCCAGTCCCTCACCCACACCTCCTTCACCCCCTGCCCTGTGGACACTGTCCAGGTAACTCAGAGAACACTCCTGGACACACTGGTGCTTTCTGTGAAAATTCAGTGGGATTACTGACTGCTGAATGCCTGCTGAATGTCCGCTGAATTGGTGATAATTATCTGCTGAATGACTGCTTAATGTCTGCTGAATGAATGATGATTGTACTGCTTAATGTCTGCTGAATGAATGATGATTGTACTGCTTAATGTCTGCTGAATGACTGATAATTGTACTGCTTAATGTCTGCTGAATGACTGATGATTGTACTGCTTAATGTCTGCTGAATGACTGATGATTGTACTGCTTAATGTCTGCTGAATGACTGCTTAATGTCTGCTGAATTGGTGATAATTATCTGCTGAATGACTGCTTAATGTCTGCTGAATGACTGATAACTGTACTGCTTAATGACTGCTGAATGTTTGCTGAATGACTGATAATTGTACTGCTTAATGTCTGCTGAATGACTGATGATTGTACTGCTTAATGTCTGCTGAATGACTGATGATTATACTGCTTAATGTCTGCTGAATGACTGCTGAATGACTGATGATTGTACTGCTTAATGTCTGCTGAATGACTGTTGATTGTACTTCCTAATGTCTGCTGAATGACTGATGATTATACTGCTTAATGTCTGCTGAATGACTGACGATTGTACTGCTTAATGTATGCTGAATGACTGCTTAATGTCTGTTGAATTGGTGATAATTATCTGCTGAATGACTGCTTAATGTCTGCTGAATGACTGATGATTGTACTGCTTAATGTCTGTTGAATGACTCCTTAATGTCTGCTGAATTGGTGATAATTATCTGCTGAATGACTGATGATTGTACTGCTTAATGACTGCTGAATGACTGATAATTGATGAACGACTTCTAAATGACTGCTGAATGTCTGTTGAATGACTGATAATTCTCAGCTGAATAATGGTAAATGGACTGTACTTATACAGCACCTCTATCTAATCAAGACACTCAAAGCTCTTCACAACAGTCTGTGCCTCATTTACCCATTCACACAGCTCTATACTAGATCTCTACAAAGATAATTGAACAAATCATTCTAAAGAGACTAATCAGAGCTTTGTCACATTCAGACACTGATGGGACACGCATCAGAGACAACGAGGGGTTCAGTGTTTTGCCCAAGGACACTTCAGCATGTGACTGCCGGTGGATTCTTGCATCGAAGGACAACTGCTCTAACCACTCAGCCACAGCCGCCCCGCGTTGAATAATTTCTGAATGTCTGCTCAAATTTGTTGCAGAAGCTAAACTGAATTGTTTTTTATTCAACCTTTATTTCTACAGGTTGATCCCATTGAGCCTCGGGGACTCATTTACAAGAGAGACCTGATTTCAACAAAGAAAGATGACAACAATGGACAATCATAAAAGAAAGCTTATAAATTGAAAAGAACAAATGAAAGAAAATGGTATTTAAAAAAAAAAACATCTAGGTTGTAAAGTGATGTAGAATACTAAAAACAGGAAGATCTTGAAAGTCAAACAAGCAGATTGGAACTAAAATTAGCAAAACCATAGCTAAAAGCTAGAAATGGGTAAACCACAGGTAAAAGCTAATAATAACAAAACCTTTGCTAAAAGCTAAAATTTGCTAACCCAAGGATAAAACTATTAATAGCACAGCCATGGGTAAAAATTAAATGAGCAAAACAGTAACTTTAATGTTATTTTATATGAATTATATATAAAAAGGTAAAATAGCTAAAATATAAATGAAAGCTAAAAATAGCAAAACAATAGTTAAAAGCTACAATTGTGGCTAAAACTGAAACTTAGGTAAACTTTAGCCAAAAGCTACACTTACAAGACAGCAGCCGAAAATTAAAATGAGCTAAAGAATAAGTAAATGTGAAAATTTGTTAAAGTATATATAAAAAACTAAAAACAGCTAAACGGTGATAAAAAGCTTGAAATGGTAAGAAAGTAGCTAAAAGCTAATATGACTTAAACAGTATCAAAAAGTGAAAATGAGTAAAACAGAAGCTAAAAACCACCAGCAGCTTAAGACAAAATTAGCACGTTGTTCTCACTCGAGACGCATGTTTTGAAACTTGAGTCAACATGTTCATGATGATGAGTGTTTTTCTCAGATTAAGACACGATTTATTCGTCTCACTTTAATTTCCTGCACAGATTGTGTTGCCGCCCCACCTGGAACGAATCCGAGAGAAGCTGGCAGAGAACATTCACGAGCTTTGGGCGGTCACTCGCATCGAGCAGGGTTGGACCTACGGGAGTGTGAGTACTTGGACAAACCACCGGACAGGAACGTTCCTCCTGCCGTACGCTGTGTCAAAACAACTGTCCAGTATAAAACCACAGCCAGCCTCTTAATGAGCAATCTCCTGACGAAACTGGAGAAACGGCATTTCCTGTGAGAATGCAGCGAGAGCGCTTACAGCTGAACGATTTTAGCTGAAAGCTGCTGAAACCAGCTGAAATGGTTTAATCTCTGAACTGAACTCTGAGTTGGATCTGAACAGCTGGTGTTGGCTGAAAGCAGGAAAATAAAAAGCAGAAAGGAGCAGAAAAATGGCTGAAATGTGTAGAAAAAGCTAAATACAGCAGAAATGTAGCTGAAATGAGCAGAGAGAGGCGGAACAAATTAAAAACAGTGTCTGAACTTTGCAAAATAGAAACTGAAATCAGTGGGGAAAAGCTAAAAATAAAGCTGAAATTTACAAAAAGGCTAAAAGGAAAATAAAAAGATCAAATCATTAAAAAAAATTACAAAGGGGAGATTGGCAAAAAAAAAAAAAGAAAAGGCTAAAATTAGCAAGAAAAAACATGTACTGTATAAAGTATCTGAAAAATTAGAAATGAGTTGAATTTAACAGAAAGATGCCGAAAGGAATAAATAAATCTGACATTAGCGGACAGAAGCTAAAAAGAACAAAAATAGCTAAAATTAGCTTAAAGCAGAAGAGCAGAAGTTGAAATGAGCAGTAAAATGTAAAAAGCTAAAGGGGTTTGAAGGATGTGAAAAGAGCTCCGTTCATTTTCAAAGAGGCCGACAAAGCTAAATAAGTCAAAAAGTAAAACGTGCAGAAACACCAAAAGCCCGAGCAGGACTGTCCTGAACGAGCCGAACGTTTTGATGTACGAGTCGCTGAAATAGCACAGAAACTGAACGAGTTAGGAGAAAAACGTACTGAATCAAACAGATCTCAGCATCTCAGAAGGATTCAGAAACATTGACACTATTATTGTCTTTGAGGTCAGGGCTGAACTAATTAATTTAGTAAAAGGTAAATAAAGACGAGCTCAAATCAAAGGGAGCTTTTTGAGCAGATTTGTCCTTTTCACAATAAGAGCGCACCATCCAGCAGGTTTACGGGTTTAAACACCAGACGGTTTTAAACTTGGGTTCACCCCTTCAGACAAAGAAGTTTTTTCTTTTAACAGTTAGGAGAAGTTCTTTCACAGCTCGAGTTCCGTCAGTAAAGACCTTCATGGGACCAACTCAGAGGATTAGCATTTTACTGATTCATGCAGAAACTGGACCACGTTTTTTTTTTTTTTAAATAAAGGCGTTTTGATGCGTGAAATATGTTTGTATTCGCCGCCGGTGGTCTTGCGCTCAGCCAAGACACATTCTCTTTGATTTCTCACAACAGTTCAGGGACGACAACAAGAAACTTCACCCCTGTTTGGTGGACTTCCAAAGTCTGCCTGAACCGGAGAGGAACTACAACCTGCAGATGTCAGGAGAAACTCTCAAGTGAGTTTGTCGTTCAGGTTGTGTAACGGGTCACCTTGGACTTCCTGACCTCCATCCCTGCCAGAGGATGAAGCCTAACTGAACGCCTGTTTCCCCTCAGGACGCTGCTGGCTTTGGGCTGCCATGTTGGAATGGGAGATGAGAAAGCAGAAGAGAATCTGAAGAAGATCAAGCTGCCCAAGACGTACGGCGACGAAAGCATTTTCTCTTTGATCTAACTTGTTCACGTGTTCTGACCACGAGTTTGTTTGTTCTCCAGCTATGTGATGAGCAGCGGCTACAAGCCCGCCCCCCTCGACCTTAACCACGTCAAACTGACGCCGAACCAGAACCAGCTTGTAGAAAAACTGGCCGAGAATGGGCACAACGTTTGGGCGAGGGACCGAGTCCGACAAGGGTGGACCTACAGCATCGTTCAGGTGACCACATGTAATATCTCATCTTCAAACGTACTTTTCTGAAGGATGAAATCTTGATCTGAATTGTTGTTATTTTTGAAGTTTTAATAATTTTTCATGACAAAACTGGGACTTTCTTGACACAAAAGCAATGCCCGATCCAATCTGGTTACCAACAGGGTGCTCTTTATACCTTTGTTGGCTGCTCCTCCGTCAACCTGGGACATATTTTATGTCAAGTAGCTTAAGGTGACCCAGGTAGAAGAGCTCTTGATGAGATTAGTTCTGTTTTTGGCCACGGCTTCTCTCCATCTCTGGTTAGAAGCTTGAACATGTTTCCAGGAACGATACTGCCTCGTTGCATACGTGTTGTATCTTACGCCGTGTCGGGGAGGAATCTTTGCCTCAGGTGGTGTTCAAGTACCTGGTGGTCTTGTTTCGGGGGGATGGCAGGATGGACTGGGACCTCATCCTCAGTAATGAAGGCGTTGCTTCGATCAGTCGTGGTGAAGAATGAGTTGAGTCGAAAGGTAATGCTCTGGATTTACTGGTCTGTCTACGTTCCAACCCTCACCTGTTGTCATGAGGTTTGGATCAGGACCGAAAGAACCAAATCACAGATACAAGCAACCAAAATGAGCTTAGGGTGGCCGGGCTCAGCCTTAAAAAGAGGGTGAGGAGCTCTGTCAACTGGGGAGAGCTCAGAGTAGAGCTGTGATTAGGACATCTCTCTTTGGAGGTCTCCTGGGCCTGTTCCACAGGGAGGAGACCCCGGGGCAGACCGAGAACTCGCTGGAGGGATTGTGTATCGTCTCTAGCCTGGGAATGCCTCCGAATCCTCCAGGAGGAGCTGGAGAGTGTCGCTGAGGAGAGGGAGGTCCGGGTTTCTCTTCTGGACCCGTTGCCTCCACGACCCAACTATAGATAAGTAGTAGAAGATGGAGATGTATCTTACTCTGTCATTCCTCTTCGTTTCTTAATGATTTGTAAGAAGCGGTCACACTTTTAACACCAAGCTGCGATCTCTAATCACTTTTAGGACATTGTGAACAAGCGAAACCCTCGTTTGGTGCCGTACAACCTGCTGGACGAGAGAACCAAGAAGACGAACCGCGACAGTGTTAACAACGCCGTCCGCACCCTCATCGGCTACGGCTACAACATCGAGCCTCCGGACCAGGAGAGCAGTAAGTCGGCTCCTTTCGGGCGAAGACGTAGAGGCTGAACCGTTTCCAGACCTTACACAAAACGTTCTTTGGGTTTCGTTAACTGTTCTGTCCGTCTCTGCAGCCGGCCACGGCACGGAGAACACCCGCGGGGACAAAGTACGGATCTTCAGGGCGGAGAAGTCGTACGCTGTCACTCAGGGGAAATGGTACTTTGAGTTTGAGGCGGTGTCAACTGGAGAGATGAGAGTGGGCTGGGCCCGTCCCAACGTCCGCTCAGACACCGAACTGGGAGCGGATGAACTCGCCTACGTCTTTAACGGCAACAAGGTCAGTCCACACATATCTTTTAATTTAACTTCAAGTTGAGGAACAATTTGAAAGATTTATAATGAGCAAATAATAAAAAAAGGTGCTAGAAATAAATTCAAGACAAGGATCCAACAAAGTTTATATCAGGTCATCTGGACGGTTTCTTCTTTTGTTGAGATGTTTCGTCCTTGATCCATCGATCCAAGGAGGAAGTCCTTTGGGCGAAGGACGAAATGTCTCAACAACAAGAAACCGGCCAGATGATGTGACTTTGTTGGATTTTTTTTTCCCTGTATTATTGAGCATGGACTTTGATGTCAACACAAGAGTTCAGGGAAGATGTTGAAGTCTGGACGTAACCTTTTTTCCAGGCTCAAAGATGGCACGTTGGCAACGAGCCGTTCGGTCGGCAGTGGCAGTCGGGCGACGTCGTCGGTTGTATGATCGACCTGACGGAGATGAACATCATGTTCACGCTCAACGGAGAAATGCTCATCAGCGACTCGGGCTCAGAGATGGCTTTCAAGGACATCGAAATTGGTGAAGGTGAGCGTTAAAGGTTATTTATCAGAAGTGGCATAAATTGTAAGGAATTTTAGGAATTTATTGCTCTAAAACTGGCGTGTGCATGTTTTAAGGTTAAAGTATATTTTTGTGGTAAACAGAAAAGATATGTTTTGGTTTTACCTCTCAGGTTTCATCCCGGTGTGTGCCCTCGGCCTGTCTCAGGTCGGAAGGATCAATCTGGGCCAGAACGTCAGCAGCCTGAGATATTTTGCCATTTGTGGGCTGCAGGAAGGATTTGAACCGTTTGCCATCAACATGAAGCGTGACATCACCATGTGGTTCAGCAAAAGTCTGCCCCAGTTTGTCCCCGTGCCCACCGACCACAATCACGTCGAGGTAACTCATCAGTAATCAAATGAATCCGCTACTTTTAGCTCACGGTTTGATATTTTCTGCTGGACTTTTCTTATTTTTATTCCTTTGAGCAAATATTTTATTATGTTTAGCATTTGGCTAGCCTTTTGGTACTTTTGGCTTGTAGCTAGCCTTTGGCCACTTTCAGTGTTTAGCTAGCCTTTTGCTAAGTTTTAAGTTTTATCTAGCAGTTTGTTCCATTTACCTAATCCGCTGTTACTTTTAGCATGCCTTTTGCTGTTTTTAGTTATTAGCCAGCTTTTTACTACTTTTAGCTGCTGTTTTACTGCTTTTAGCTAACTTTTCAGTATATTTAGATTTTGGCTAGTGTTTTGATGGTATTAGTTAGTGTTTGCTATTTTAATGTTTTAGTTTGTTAATGTTAATAATTTGCCTGTTTTTTCTAGTTGGCTACATTTAGCTAGAGTTTTGCTGCATTTAACTTTTAGCTATGATTTTGATATTAGCTACTGATTTGCTCCTTTTATCCACCGTTGTCTTCTCTTGGTTTATTTCTGTTGTGCTCTTTTCAGCTTTAGTTCTTGTTTAACGTCAGTTTCAGCTACCTCATCAAATGTCAGTCTTTCAGCACTCCGGCTGTATTTTCTCAGTAAAGTTGGGCTAATTGAGCTGTTTGTCAGGTGTCTCGTGTGGATGGAACCGTGGACAGCGCCCCCTGTCTGAAGCTAACTCATAAGACATTCGGGTCTCAGAACGCCAACACGGACATGATGTTCCTTCGCCTCAGCATGCCCGTCCAGTTCCACGAGACCTTCAAGGTCCCAGCGGGGACCACCCCTCTCACCCGAGCCCTCACCATACCCGAGGAGGAGGTGGTCGTGGTGGAGCCGGACTCCGAGTTTGAAGTTTTAAAGAAGTCTGCCAGTCGTAAGGAGCAGGAAGATGAGAAGAATGAGCCGTCTGTACCGAAGGAGATGTCGGTGGAAAACGAGAAGGACGCCTTGTCTGAAAAGGGGAAGAAGAAAGGGTAAAATCTGCTTGTTTCATTAGTTTCACAGTAACGGTCATGTTTCTCAGTGTAACTGTTCTACACTCAGAAACGGACGTTATAAACTTCAACTGATCTTCTGTGAAAAACAGGTTCTTCTCGAAAGCCAAAAAGGCGGCCATGACACCTCTGGCCCCTCCTCCTGCCCCTCCAACGGTGCCTCGCTTAGTGGAAGACGTGGTTCCTGATGACAGGGACGATCCTGAGATCATCCTCAGCACCACCACCGTGAGACAGCCTTACTCCCAGTGGAAGATGTTTAGGTTGTATCAGTGAAATTCATCCACAGCACCGCTGGTCTGATTCTTCTTCCTTCAGTATTTCTACTCCATGAGGATCTTCGCTGGTCAGGAGCCCTCCTGTGTTTGGGTCGGCTGGGTCACCCCTGACTTCCACCAGTTTGACCCCAGCTTTGACCTGTCCAAGGTGCGCTGCGTCACCGTCACCGTGGGGGACGATAAAGGCAACATACACGACAGGTCGGCCTCGCCGATTCATTTTTCTTTCCTCTGTAGTAGTTCTACTTCCTGTAAACCTCTGGATCAGACACGTTAAATGAAACGTTAGAGGAGTTCAGCTGAGGTGGTGCACTTGTTGATGTTTGCAGTATGAAGCACAGCAACTGCTACATGGTGTGGGGAGGGGACCTGGTCAGCAACCAGCAGACCCGCTTCAGTCAGGAAGACATGGTGGTCGGCTGCCTGATCGACTTGGCGACTGGTCTCATGACTTTTACAGCAAATGGGAAAGAGATCAACACCTTCTACCAGGTAACAGTCTCGGTGTTTATACACCTGTTCTAAGATGGCGATTAATCACAAAGGAAAGTCTTAAACCTGGACAATGTGTCAGCCTCACAGACAGAAACTGGAAGTTGGTTCCACAAGAGAGGAGCCTGATAACTGAAAGATCTTCCTCCCATTCTGCTTTTAGAAACTCTAGGAACCACAAGTAAACCTGCAGTCTGAGAGCGAAGTGCTCTGTTAGGAAAATATGGAACAATAAGATCAGAATCAGAATAAACTTAATTGGAATTGCACCAAGGTACAACGCGAATATGTACGTACCGTCGTCCGAAAGATGGGCGAAGTGCACGAAGCTGCAACTACAGGAGAGCGCGGCCATTTTATCCTTATCAGATAATAATGTTAGATAGGAAAAGGGGGAGAAACATGAGGGTAGATAGTGGAATTACAAAAAAAGATCTTTCACATCTTATCAGGACACGATTTGAGACATCAAAACTCTACCAGCAGCTCAATTAAAACATGATCACATTTGCATTTGACATCGAGGTGTTGAGATTTGTCCATGAGCGTTTTTTCAG